GACAAGGAGGGGATGAAAAGGCAATCGCAGCCCCGCGGCGAGCTGCTCCCGGAATATCACGATCTCATCAGGACCGTGTTCCCAAGGAAAGCTACCCGAAGGTATGAAATAGGCGTACTCCCCAAGCAAGTTATAGTAGGTAATGAGGGATTGAAGCCCCTCGGGCGTCATGGTCGAAGGACCAAACTTATCTAACATCCGACCCCGACGAGAGGTGGACGCCAAACTGCCCGAAGTGCCTCAGCCTACGAGTTCGAACTCTTCATCGAGCTCTACCTCCGGCTCGCTAGGGCTGTCAGGGGATGCAACTTGGTTCGTAGAACCTGCATCAGACCCGCTAGAAGGACTATCTGAGCTATCCAAGCTAGACATCGGGGAGTGAGATGGGATCCAGGAAAGTACTCACCCGGAAAAAGGCTATAGACCACAGGAGCTCGGACGAGCAGAAGACCTTGAACGCGAGCTGAAAAAACCTGGACGCGAACTGGATGCGAGCTGAAACTCGGACGCGATGTCAAGAGAAACACAGAAGTGACAGCAACTGGGGTCCCCCCCCCACTATTTATACTCACAGTGATCGAAAAGCAACGGCTTAGATCAATGCCAATTCGACGGCCCACAGCCGCACCGACCGCACGTCCCCTGAGACCGAGGCGTGATTGGCGCACATCTTTCCGAAACTGACAGGGCGCCGACGCACGTCTTTTCGAAACTGACGGAACGTCAGCGCACATCTCCTCAATAAAAGCGACAGCGACACGTTTTTTCAAACTTGAAAAGACGCCTGCTATCGCGCCTCCCAAGTGGCACGCTTTTTTGAAATTTTGAAATAAAGCGCGTGCCGTCACATCTATCGGCGCCTAGGCAGGCCGACACGCTTCCCACCTTTTGGACGCTCGAAGAAACCCAAGGAACCCTGACAACGCACCTCGCGCCATCAGAACCAAGATCCAAAGGTCAGGGCAAATCTACCTGACACCTCGCGAACTCCCCGTGCCAGGGCAAGACCCTTAGCGCGAGGAGTGGGGGGCAATTGATGAAGGAAGATTTGGCCCGACCTCGCAATCACGCCATGTGGCAAAAAACAAGTAGCTCGGCACTTAAGCAACGTACCCAGGGTGCAAACACCAAAGGGAAGAAACCAGTTGTCCGAACTCCCCTCGAGGAGACCGAACTCCCTTCGAGGAGCCCGAACTCTCCCTTTAACCCCGAGCCACACAAAGCAG